ACTTCTATGTTATAAATTATATTTTACGCGTGTCTTACTTTTTAACTGTGATCCTTTTTTAAAAATTGTGCTTGCTGTGTCTAAGTTTTTCTTTCTTGCTCAACTTATCTTTTATAGGTTAGTATTACAAAATGTTATTGTTATTATTATTTTAGTACTTAATTTTATTATATTGTTATTTTTATTATTACAATAAAATAATATTACAAAATATATATATGTACATAATATTACAAAACTGTTGTCACAGCAAAATGTAGAAACTTTTATCGCATTTCACGCAAGTAAACGTTTAATCTTTTATCTGGGTTTTACAACTTTCTCATTGCAACTACAGCTGCTAGATTTTTTTTTTTTTTTGTGGATGTTTCAATTTTTGAGTTTACACAACTGCAGTGTCTGTTAGGGCCAAATATGCGCCTTCTGTTATTGAATGACTCGTAGCAAGCACCTTGAATATTGAAAAAACAGATAGAATTGTAGTTGCTGGGGAAACAACGTTTGTTTCGACCCAGTTTGTATGAAAGTCATGCTAATGCCATTATGAAAGTCATGCTGATACCATTATCTTGGCTTCCTTTTAACAAACATGAAACCATGTTATCAGCGCAGTAACTTAGCTTGATCTTTTTTTTTCTTCAGGCTTGTCGATTTAACAGGTGATTCAAACAATAAAAAGTCTGTGGCACAGTCGTGCAAGTGGTAAAAAAGCAAGACATGCGTAAAATATAAATCTGAAAAAAAAGGTGTTTAGTGTTGGCGCGATTTGAACCCAAAACTTTCACGCAGCGATGACAAGACTCAACACCGTTACCAGTCCGCCACGCAAGACGGCAGAACTTGCGCAGCTGGCGCAGACGTATATGTATAACACCACTGCTTTTGTCTTGCGTGATTTATCTTTTATTTTGGTGCAGATTGACCTTTTCCGGCTGTAACTTTACCTGCCGCTTTTAAAGTTTAAGGGTGTGGTTAATTAGACTCGAATTGCAAGCCTCTGCGGTCAGTTTCTGCGAGCAAAGTCAAACTTTTGTGCTCGAAGCGACACGCATTTCTGTACCATTAGGCAGGGGCATAGGGTGCTACATAGTTCCATGTCCCCAAGGAGCTGGTCACGTGACATAAAAATCCCTCTTTGCCACAGCTGCAAGATGAGCAAACCGGCCCAGGGGACTGATTTTTGTCACGGGTGGGAGAAAAGTCAGAGTCTGCTCTCGCTGAGGGATGCTAAAATACTGTTAGCAGACACGTCGTCCGGTAGCGCAAGGGAAAAGTGTGGTTTGTCTGCTATAAGGCATCGACGCCATTGTGGGCCGTATGGTACTAATTATGTCCCACGGGCGGGTGGAGAGGTCGGGAAAAAAAGTTAAACTGAGAACATCTACTATTTCCTGAAGGGCGCAGTTGATGACCTGTGCTTCATTTTGAAATGCGAATTCCATTCGTTCTCCTGTCGTACATAACCTGACATCCGCTGGTGAATCAATAAGAATTAGAAACAAGCACCTACCTCGCATGCGAGAGCTTTCCTCTTCCGTAAATAGGTGAGGACTTCTGACCTACTTAGGATTATGAAAGCTCTCGTATGCCAGGTAGGTGTTCATTTCAAATTCTTAATTATTCTCGGGTGGATGTTGGGTTACGTACGACAGGAGAACGTATCCAAATTTCTAAACGATGCACAGGTTGTCGATTGCGTCCTTCAGGAAATAGCGGAGGTTTCCAATTTAACTTTGTTTTCAATCTCCTCTATAATCTCACCACCTGCTAGCTAGTATCTGCGAGCAAGTGGCGTCTCGGTTCCGTCAGCAAATGACACCTCGTGACAGACGAACCGCGCCTCTTTTGTAGCAGACGAACCCCGATCCGGCTGAGATCGTGCTCTCACCACTGACCAAAATCGGGCTCCATGATTAGAAAGTTTTAACATATTAGGTGACAGCGTCTCTAAATCGACTGGAACAGAAACTGCCAGTAAGCTTCACAGCCATTTTTTTTTTCGGCATGTCAACAGATTTCCAGCTTTCAAATGCGAGGTTAGAATGCCAGGGTTTAAACGATACTGGATTATCTGAGACCTTAATTTTAAGCACAGTCACGAAGAATGAGCATCATGCTGCCGATTCAAGTACTTTGTGCAAAGGCAAGTGTGAAATTGTGGGTTGCGTGTGCGTAGTCGCGCACTGGAGACTTTGCGCGAAGATAAGCGTGAGTTTGCGGGTCGTGTGTGCGTAGTCGCGCACTGCATGACCAGGCATGAGTGGCATTTTCATTCGTAACTGCTGCATTTGTTAAAGCATATGGGTAAACCTGCAGTCCAGAGGAAGAGCAAGAAGACACGCGAGCAGAATACGCGCAGCACGGCCGACCTGAACACAGTCTTTCAGCACGAGAGCTGCCGCTCGAGTCCCGTAATGAAGTTTGAAATTGTGCAGTAGATTTTCAGTGAGCTTGCTGTTCTTAGATCCAAATAGGCAAGTAGCACCCTAAAAAACAGTCCGCTTGCTTTTTTTTTTCTCGGTCACAGGTTTTTTTGTCAGTATACGTAAACGTCCACAATTACACCTTCAAAGAGGCATCTCCGCGTCAACAGCGCTGGTTCCTCTCTTAAAGCTTGGCATTTTAGTGAAGGTATGTTTAAAGTATTCTCGTATGCAAGAAATTGTCAAGCAAACGGAGGATAGCAAGAGTATAGGTGGTTTGTCCTTACTTTCGACAGGAGCTTCTGTTCCTGTATCAAACTTTGGTGGAAGTTTCATGACCAAAAGCATTATTAAGGACTCTGGTTTCCCATTCAAAAGTAGTGTAAGGCTTCTTCCTCATTGATTTTCTCATTCTCGGCGTCCACGGTGGGTTCTTTGCTACCTACCAACACCACGAAGTCTTCGTTTGTTGGAGCACCGCACACCACCACCGTGCTGTCAACATCCACGTAGAGTTTGCACAGCCCCTTGAAGACCTAATACCCTTGAAAAAAGAATTTCAGTGCCCTTAATACTCCTGGAATTTATTTGCATTCATTGTATTTCTTAAACATAAACATGCAGGCGGGTCAGTTATTGTCATTATTTGAATATCGGGAAAACTTTGTTTCGGCTCTTTTCTTTAAAACTTAGGGCCAAGCAAACTCGTGACAATAAAATGGCGTGTGCACTTAACCCGCAACGGCACATGATCTTGTTATATGGCAGTATCATTATGAAGTTCAACGTTGGGTTTGATAATGTGACTAAGACTCACTGTTTTGCCAAACTGTGGTAGTCTACTAGATGGAATGTTTTCCAGATTAGTAGATTATAGTGTTCACAAGGAAATTCTTATTGAATGCAGGTTCACCTTGGCAGTGGACTAAAAGTCACCAAGCTTAAGCTTGATGATTTGGTATCGAAGCTACCGGAGCAACGCTTCGTAAAGGACCTTTCCCGGATGATCTACTCTACTGCTGAGCTCTGCGCTCGCAGCGTGACCGGAGAGCCGAGCCGGCGCTTTCTGAAAGAGGGCGCGAAAGGGAAGCTGCCGGTGACACCTGCAAAGATGATGGCCCTTGCAAGTAAGTGCATAGAGTGTCAAAATATACTAGAATGAAAAGGGGTCAACCTTCAACAAATAATGTAATAATGCAGAAAGTTGATAGAGTTGGTAAATGTCTTAAAAACAATGAGTTGAGTGATGTGCTGTCCTTTTTCAAGTCTTTTTTAAATTTAAACTATTTGGAAAACCATAAATTTATTGAGGTTCACTTGGAAAACTAACAGGAATAATAAGGTTGAAGTATTAGACAACTAAATATTTAATAAATGAACTTGTGCTCACAAACAAAATAAAATTGGTGGCGACTAGCGTTGGCGGTGTCGATGTCAGCGTGACTGGTAAGACCTTACCATAACCCAAGACTATCTGCCTGCAGCCACCATGTGCTTCCTTTTACACACATTCGACAGCCAAGAACATTTCCTAGAATAGAAAAAACAAGCTTTCGTGGTTATATTTAGCTGGGACATTCCAGACAACCAGAGGATAAAAAGAACTACCGGTGCCCAATATTGGGCCTCTGCCCAAGAGCTAAATGTGCTGCCATCTTGGCCATGCATGCTGCATTATGTTTTGTGAAAGCTTTGCAAATGCAATCCCTCTGCTTTTTGTTTTTGCTTAAAGGGCCCCTCCAACAATATAATTATGTTTCTGCTTTTTTTTTGCGCTCCCTGCCTTTTCTGTGGTTCGGGGGATTTGGGGAACAAAGACAAAACTGCAAAAGAATGGTGCATCATATTTTCATTTGACAAGGTGCGGAATGGTTGTATCGATGGTGGGCGCAGTGTGGTGCTAAACGTGCGTGGCAGATGACTTTAACGGAGCTGGCTTCCCGATTGGCCAGGTCCACCAATAGTTTGTTCCTGAGCACGGAATAATAAGTGTGAATGTTCTTACCTCATAAATATTTATAAAAGTTGTTTTTATTGAGCTCTAAGACTAAGGAAAAAACTAAATGTACTTTAATAAAGCCCAAAAACAACAAAAACAAGCTCTTTGCGACATGTGAGCCGCCCTACGGCATTCATGTCGCGGAAACTGAAACCAAACTAGCAGACGACGCATTGTACACACGTGCTCTCTCTTCTCATGCACTTTTACGAAACTCGACTCAGTGAGTGGGGACCCCGGTTGTTGCGGCATGCGGGGGGGGGGGGGGGGGGCGACGATGAAGGGACGATGCACGGATGCAAGCACTGAGAGGCGAGCTGAGCGCCGGCGATGCGTACGCGGCTCTGAGAGGCGGCACGCCCACCGCCCAGCGGCTCCGCGGCAAAGAAACACAAGGCACCACTGTATCAAGGATAGCTGACGCTAGAGTCACTATAGAGCGACGATGTGGATCCGTCAGCGGAGGAGCCGCTGCGTGTTTTGCGCCTACCATTGGCATCTCCATTTACGTCACGCAGTGGCCCACTTCTGCAAATTTTGTTTGCTTATAGTGTCCCGAATAATTTTTATTTTGCAAAGCGGTTACCGTATATACTCGAATATAACGCGCCCTCGATTGTAACGTGTACCCTTTTCTCGAGGTCCGAAAAAAGAAAAAACGCCATGACTTCGATTGTTACGCGCGCCAGATTTTGTAGGTTAAATACAGAAATTAAACTTTTTCTCACTTGGAACAAAGGTTTATTCCGAATGCTTCAATCTTGCGATGAAATGAACGGCGCTGTCTCTCGCCGGCAAGGTCGTCATCATGGCGACGGTCTGGTGCAGCGCTCGTGGGACAGTACGCATCACTCGTCATTGTTGTCGGACAACTCCTTATCGCTGTCAACGGCCCAAAGCGTTTCATCTTCGGTGCCGTCCATAGCGTTAGGAATTCCGCACTTCTTGAAGGCCTTGATAACCATGGCAGACGGGATCGTGCACCATGCATCTTTCACCCATCGCACGTGATGCGGCCCAATTTCCATCGCTCTCTGCGTACAATATCCCTTTTCTTTTGAATCCAGCATCATGGTGGGTCTTTGCAGTGGGAACTTCCACGCTGATATGAAAGAAACACAGGAGCTGGCTACGCAGCTTCTTAGCGCGTAATGGGCGGCTATTTTGGAATATCGATGGCGATATGGTAGCGCAGTTTTGGTCGCACTCGTTTGTAGCGCACATGCGATTTTTGGACCTTAGTTAGATTCGAGTAAATACGGTAGTTTCTCAGTGTTATTGCGTTGCCTGCGGTCACTCTCGGCACAAGTTTCAGACCAGTCAAAAACCTATTGGAGAGGCCCTTTAAATCTCTGTATTCGGGAATGGATGGACACATTTCCAGGAATAGACGGAGACATATTCCCTGTAAATCAGCTCTTAAAATTATTAGTTACATGGTCATGGATGTTTTACAATCTGGATTTAAGTTGATTGGTGTCTTTGGCCAGGTGTTTTGGTACTGCCAACCTAGGTTTATAATTGCCACTGTAGCCACTTGTGGAATGTTTTTGTTAAAATGTTTACCATATGATTTGTAGACTTGCACTGAGTTAATTTAAAAGGGTTCTGTCCTTCATCTTAATGTTCCTATTAATTCTTCCGTGGCATATTACCGTTAAGATTTCATCCATTAAAAAAGAAGCAATTTTTTTCAATGCTATGTATATATATAGTTAAGAGTTCAAAACCATATGCTTTGACCTTGATAGATCTACTTGTAAGTTTCAAATGATGTTACGCCCACACCAACCTGAATGTACCGATGACATTTTGACAATACTTGTCATGCATGGTCGCTCTCGAATTGCGCTTACCTATTGGTAGAAAGAAAAATTCTGTCTTTGTGTTGTGCATTTCTAGTGCTTCAAAAAATTTACAGGGAATTAAGCCCTCCAGTTCCTTTAAATTATATATATATTATGTTTGCGAAATTATAACAAAAAGAAAAAAAAAGTTTTTCTTCCTTGCACAGCTGTTTAACGCAGATATCTTTACAATTTCTCCAGGTGGCCTGATGTACTATGAGAGGGCAAAGAAGCCAGAGCCTGAACGTCGCCCGATCCTGGAGCTCCAGACGGTAGTCCGCGACATCCTAAAAGACTTCTTGCCTGATGTTGCGAGGCAGGGCAGAAGGAGGGTCGCTCCGAAAGAATAAAATGGCAGTGATTCCTTATACCGTTTCACAGTGGAATTATTTACTCAACGGCAAGTACATACTAGTTGTACCAGCGTGACAAGTTAATGTGACCAGTTGAACCACCATGACACGTTCAACCAACATGACCAGTTCAACCGGTTCAACCAGTATGACCAGTGTGACCAGTTCAACCACCATGACCAGTGTGACCAGTTCAACCACCATGACCAGTGTGACCAGTTCAACCAGTATGAAACTGGTCAAACTGGAGCAATATCCAAGTTTGAAACTGGTACCAGTTTGAACTGGTTGCCAGTTTAAACTGGTCTTTCCAATAGGGTGGAACAACACTTTCGGGGCTCTAGTTCGCGACAGTCAATAAAATTATCACAAAAAGTACATAAACAATCGGTGTCTACCCAGAAAATAACAGTGAATGCTTGGAACACTGCTTGGAATAGCGAAGCTTCACCAATACACGACTAGCAATGACTAGTACGTCGCAACTCGAGGAGAGCAGTACACTATGCCCGTCCTATCCACAGTAGTGGAATGAACGCTGGAGTAGAGGAAAGCAGACTCCGGGATTTGCTCTTCCAATGTGGAAAGAAGAAAGGGCTTGTATCTCCTGCTGCTAATGAGCTGTATTTAAAGCTTGCAAGCACAAATCAGTGTGAACATGGAACCACAACCCTCGAATGCTTTGAGGCACCAAGTATGAAGTACACTGAAATAAATTAAGTATGCCAATGCTGCACAAAGCAAAAAGCTGTGAGTTCGGAAATTACAAAAATGTGACTCTAAAGCAATATCATTGACCTTCTGTAACTCTCAGAATCAACCATCCTGCCTTATGTCAGACAAAAAAAAAAGCATTAAACAAGTGACATAAAAAATTCCTAAACCCGCATAAAAAGGCATTAAAAGAGAAACTACTTTTTGGCATTTCGTTTAGGTTCGAAAGCAATTCGTTGCACCAGACTCCACATTTGAGTGTTTCAGATCAATTAAGTACTCTAGTGTAATGAATCTGCGCCCGAACTGGTGATGATACGTGTAGTCAAAGATGAAGTAGAGGCAGAATGCAACCAGGACTGCCACAGCAGGCGACGCGGCTTCGAGGTCTCCCTCCACTGCCACATCGCTGGGCGCCTCTGGATTACTTAGGCTTGAGCTGACAGCCACCGGGTAGATTGCACCGCCTGCCTGGAACCAAAAAAATGTGGAAATCATGTGATATGAAGTTGAAACATATCATCCCCAATTTAAATAAACTGTGAAGAAATATTAGATTTTTCTAAGACGCATTTTGAGCATTTGATGGGCCACTGATTCTAGCATTATAAAGCATCAACCATACTTACCAGACGTGACTAGTTTAGCTGTTGACTAACCACCACTGACTAAAAGTATCACATGGCTGGTGGTAATCGTAGATTAGTAAGCACTTTGTATTCGCCGGTCATGTTAAAATTTGTCACCCCGATTTACTTATAAGACTAACAAATCTTAGTCAAAGGGGTACAACTACTGTAGCAGGTTAGTATATACAAGTGCTGATTGTTGGGCGAGTTGGTATTGTACGTGAAAAAACATGAGAGCGCTTTAAGACAAGGACAGAGGAAGAACGTACACCACAGAACGCTACACAACATTAGCTACTCAGCACCACAGCAGACCCACATAACCGCCAACTCTAACTGCCGAACTTCGGCAAATATGCAAACATTTTTGCCGAAGTGCTCTGCCAGATTAAAATTGAATGTATGTTTTATTTAAACATGAGAAGAACAGTACACAAGGACGAAAACAAAGAAAAAGAACACACCCAAAAAGAACACACCGAAAAAGACACGCTCAAGCGCCTTGTGTGTCCTACTCTAATTTATTTACTCGAAGTATACTCTCAATTTTCTATGGAAAATGAACGAACATCACACACACACAAAGAAAATATTAAAATCAAGAACCTCATTTCAAGTGCCTAAATGCGAACAAGAACATCAAAATAATATATCTGACTACGCTTACCTGCAGTTGCGTCCAAGGTAGCAGGCATCCAGTACCCTCGACGAAATCACCCTACAACGTTGACGCAGTAGCAAAGAAATATATTCAATCAACTTCAGATAATGCAAACTTGAGCCATCTGACTCGCCCACTGAATGATCAGCTTTCAAAAATGCCTGATCAGACGCAAAAAAGAAAAATGCCAAGACAACAATATACTTTCTAGTCTCTCTGCCGACAATAACTTAATGACCTTACTTAGTAATATACTACTATTAATTTTCGCGAAGCGCACGAATAATTTCTAACTGCCGAATGTTGAACTTCGACAAATATGTAAATTTTGTTGCCGAAGGGATTTGCCTGATTAAAATTCGATGTATGTTTTATTTAGACATGAGAAGAACAGCACACAAGGACGAAAACACAAAAAAGAACACCGAAAAAGACGCACTCAAGCGCCTTGTGTGTCTTACGCTAATTTATTTACTCGAAGTATATCCTCAATTTTCTCTCAGAAATGAAAAAAACAGCACACACACAAAATAAACATAAAGATCAAGAACCCCATTTCAAGTGCACAAATGGGAACAAGGAAATCAAAATGAAATATCGAACAACGCTTGCCTGCAGTAAGCAGTATTAAGAACTGTCACGGGATTTGTCCAAGGTAGCAGGCATCCAGTAACCTCGACGAAATCACCCTGCACTTAACGTTGCCGCAGGACGAAAGAAATATATTCAATCAACTTCAAATAATGCAAACTTGAGCCATACCTAACGCGCCTACTGAAAGATTAGACTTTTAAAGAAGCCTAATCACACGCAAAAAAAAAAAAAGTCATGACGACATTATAATTGTTAGTCTCTCTGCCGGCAACAACTTAATGACCTTATTCCATAATATACTACTTTTAATGATTGCGGAGCGCACGAATAATTTCTAATTGCCGAATGTCGAACTTCGGCAGATATGTAAATATTTTTGCCGAAGTGATTTGCCTGATTAAAATTGAATGTATGTTTTATTTAGACATGAGAAGAACAGCGCACAAGGACGAAAACACAAAAAAGAACACCGAAAGAGACGCGCTCAAGCGCCTTGTGTGTCTTACTCTAATTTATTTACTACAAATACCCTCAATTTTCTCTCGGAAAGGAACAAACAGCACACACACAAAATAAACATAAAGATCAAGAGCCCCATTTCAAGTGCATAAATTGGAACAAAAAATCAGAATAAAATATCGAACTACGCTTACCTGCAGTTAACAGTGTTAAGAACTGTCACGAAACGAGTCCAAGGTAGCAGGCATCCAGTACCCTCGACGAAATGACCCTACAACGTTGCCGCAGGACGAAAGAAATATATTCAATCAACTTCAAATAATGCAAACTTGAGTTATATCTAACTCGCCTACTGAATGATGTTTTAGAAATGCCTGATCACACGCAAAGAAAATGCCAAGACAATATAATTGCTAGTCTCGCTGCCGGTAGCACCTTCATGACCTCATTCCGTAATATACTACTATTAATGTTTGTGAAGCCCACGAACAATTAGCTCAAACATTTATATTCGGTATTTCATAACGTGACATTTTGCGAAACTATTTATTAAACCTCGTTAAATTAAAAACAAACAAACAAAAACGTTGCTATTAAAAGTCAGTGTTCAATACTGAATTTTACAAATATCAACGACGTTGAGAATTAATCGCGCCTGTTGGCCGGTGCCGCCAATGAATGCCGACTACTGCTCTGCGAAAAAAAAAGACACCAACCACCTTATGAGATTTTCAAATATTTTGATCAGATCCTCAATTTAACGTCCGACGCGACACACCAACGGCCCTCAAAAGAGAAAACCTCCTACCCCCTCACGCCTTAAACCTAGGCGACCCCCGTAACAAAAGGCGCCTTGTCGCCCGGCTCGCCGAACCGCCGCTCTCCCCTTCCTCCACCCGCACACACATACACCGGGAAAAACTGCTGGTTACGCCACTGGTTAGCGAATGTCAACATTCTAAATATGCGCTAGTGCAAGCGACTGTCATTTCTGTTCTTGCTCTTTATGAATTTCGATGGTCTAAACCGTGTCTGCGTTCGCGCCACACACTAATTTTATCGAACGCTCGACGCCTTCAAACGTGCCAACATGTCCGCCAAGCCTTTGTCTAAGGAAGACGGAGGTCGCCTTCCCGGGCGGTCATAACCGACGCCAACTGCCGCCCGCGCAGAATATTTCCTTACCTGCATACGGCGCACACGACTTGGATCTTCGAATGAAGTCAATGCAGTGCTCTCAGTGACCTCGTAAGAAGAGACTGAGCCGAACAGAACAATAAGGAACGTTCCTGCGCAGGGACGCCTCCGTCGAACGTTCGAGAAGAAAGACCGTTATGCCGTTATGACCGGGAGCGTCGACGGGGAAGGCGCCGACCTGTGGCGCCGACGCTCCCGGTTGGCCGGGCGAGAGCTCTCCCACGCATGCGCGAAGAATGACGTGTCATACGAGGAGACCAATTAGCGAACTGGTTTGCGCCTTTCCACAGCCAATCGCAGCGCCCAGGCTTTGGCAGTGCTCGAACACGTGCACCCTCTGGGAGGTAATATTTACCTCTTTGGTGCCCCTTCGAGGCGAACTTCACCTTGTAGCACCGCATTCCTAGTGTCCGCTGCGCCTGAGGAGGTAACAAGCGGAGCGCTTCCCCCCTGGCCGGGAGGAGGGTGGTAAAGGTGGTCTGTTACCTCCTTTTGGTCCCCTTTTTTCTAAGAGTGTACGCCTGCCGCCCGCCCGCCGACGGCCCGCTTCTGTCACTACGACACCGTGTCCAAAGGTAGGCGCGAGCTATATCCTCCATGACTCTGACAAACTTGAAGGCGGTCGATGGTCCAATAGCAGGTAACACGCACGCAGCTTGCTAAGCGCGGCTAGCTTGCTACGACGACTACGATAGCTGCTTCCTGCTGCCAAGCCCGGTAGACCGCTAGGCATAAGAAACAACCCAGCGCGCCAAAGTTAC